AATCCAGAACAAAGCACTAATTGCCTCTGATTGTTTTGAAAAGGAAACATTTTCTAACAATTATAGCTGTCTTAAAATGGAAATGGATGCTTTGAGAAATTTGTTTACCATCTTTGGAGACTTTAAAGCAAAGGCTGGACCAATATGTGTCTGGGAGGCTCCACAGGGAATTCCTGCATATGGGAGGGCAGAGCACATGATTTTTAAGGTCTTTTCCCATCTTGGGCTGTGATGATTCTGATTGACTTTCTACAAATCCTATCATACCACTCTGCACAATATCCCATCCCTTCCTGCCTCCTCAAGTACATTACCCCAGTAATACTGTCCCTTCTCTCTTGACATTTTCCCCATCAGTATTCAAATACACTACTTCTCCAATCTTGAAAATACCTACTATCAATCTTACTTCCCACTCCACATACCAGCGCATTTTCTCTCCTTTCCTTACAGCTAAACAAACAACAAAAAAAGCTGTTTATATTCCCTGTCTCCAATTCCTCTTCTCCCATTCTCTCATGAACCCACTGCTGTCAGGTTTTTGCTCACACGGCTCTAGTGAACTGCTCTTGTCAAAGTCACCCAAGACCAGTCCACATCACCGAATGTCATAGTCATTTCCAAGTCCTCATCGTTCTTTCTTACATGCGCTGGTCAACGGCCTATTTGCTCTCAGATCCATCCCCTCTGCTCAGCTGTGTACAGCAGACACTACATTTCCCACCCTTTCCCTGTGACTTCCTGATGGATTTGGCCAGTGGGGCTCATTGACTGAAAATTAGAGATCAGGAGGGGAAGGGAAGAAGTCAGGATAGTCCCCTTCCTCTCCTTCTGTTTTGAGTGTCATCCCTAGAAGTGACTAACTCCTCTGTGATTCCCACTGGAAAGGCCCTTGCTCCATGAACCAAAATCTTCCTGAGCTGGTCTTCTTGCTTCTACCTTCCAGATCCTAGACTTGGGTATCACCTTCAACTTTTACCTCTAGTCCTACAGGGTAAAGCTGCTTCCTGCTGTTACTCAATCTCCAGGTTAATTCACTATCCCCATCCTGGTTTCTTAGCTCTTCCCGAAAAGAATGGCTCTCATCTGAGTTACCAATTGCTTGTGTTAAATTCTTTCTCTTTAAAATTCTGAATGTAGTTACTGCTTTCTTTTTTTTTTTTCCTAAAGATTTATTAATTTACTCATACAAGAACTGGGGTACAGGCAGAGGTGTGGGAGGTGAGAGGATTCACCAGAGACAGAGTGGGGAACAGAACAGGCAGACTGACTGAAATACACTGCTGAGGGGAGCAGCAGGCAAGACAGGAGAGGTCTGCTGCGCCATGTGGGTCACCTCCCTGGCCAGGGATGGAACTCGTGCTGCTGTGGCTGCGGATAGCTTCATAGTGTTGTGTCTTAACCCCTTGAGCCACCAGGGAAGCCTCCGGTTACTGCTTCCTTAACTGGCCCCCGACTGACATAAAACACTCACTTCTCTTAGCTTCCAGGATCTTTCACTGTTTTCCTTCAACCTGACTAGCCATTTCTTCTCAGTCTTCTTTGTGGATTTTTCCTCAACTCAAATGATGGCATGCCCAGGAATCAATCTTTGTACCTATTCTCCTTGCACTTATATCTCTGGCAATCTCATCTTGTCTCATGGCTTTAGGTAACATCTACAGAATGACAACTCCCAAATTTATGTCTCTAGCTGGACCTTCCCAATTGAGCACTGACTACCTGACACCTCCACTTGGAGAACCCACAGGCATATCAAGCCCAACACATGCAAAACAGAACACTTGGCTTTCCCAAAAGCTGCTCCTCTCCATTTCCGTAAATGACATTTCAATTTACCCACAAATTGGGACATTGCTCATGATTCCTATGTCTCATCTGTCAGGTAGTCCTAGTAACAAAACCTCCATGACGCAACTCCATTCATTTTCTCCAACAGAACTACTGATCCAAAACACATAGCAGAAAGACTATCTACTGTGGTGAGACCCCACCTGACACTGGACCCATAAATTCACAAAGTCAAACTCACCTCATTTACAAGATATGGACACTTATAATTAGGTAAAAGATCAGAGAAAGATTTTAGGACTGATTCTGAATTAGAAGATTGTTGGGCAGATTTATAATATTAAAAAGAAGCAAGATTTATCTTATTTTTTCAATTAAACATGGCTGGTATAACAGAAATCAAGTCCAGAATGTTAATTAAAATGATTTGACAATTAGCAATCATTGGCAGTGGCTTAAAATATTTGGGCAGAAATGTTGCCCTACCGATTTGTGTATAATAAAAACCAACTATAGGCCTGACCTCTGGTACAGCTAACTGAAATTGCTGTCATTCTAATGAAGTGTCATTGCCTCTCATCCACCTCCAGATGTGTTGCAATTCTAGACTGGTTTACCTGAAGACCTTTGAATCAAGACACAATGCAGGGCCTCCCTGGTGGCGCAGCGGTTGAGCGCTGGGTTGCGAAGCTGCCCACAGCCTCTGCAGCACTGGTTCAATCCCCGGCCACTGGGTGAGGGTCCCACATGGTGCGCAGACCTCTCCTGCTGCCCGCTGCTCCCCTCAGCAGCTTACTTCATCCATCTGCCTGTTCTGCTCCCTGCTCTGGCTCTGGTGAATTCTCTCACCCTCCCACACTTCTGACTGTACCCAGTGCTTGTATAAATAAATAAATAAATCTTAAAAAAAACCTCAACATATACAAAAGATACTTTATACAAAAATTAATTCAAAATGGATCATTGACCTAAATGTAAAACATAAACTTTCCAAAAGAATTATAGAAGAAAATCTGCATGATGCTGGGTCATGAAAGGGATTACACTATTTAGAAAATGAAAAGATAATCCACAGACTAGGAGATATCTGACATAAGACTTATGTCAACTATATAAAGAACTCTTAAAACTCAACAGTAAGAAAGCCCACTTTATTTTTATTTAAAGATTTATTTATTTATTATTTATACAGCACTGGGTACAGTCAGAAGCGCGGGAGGGTGAGAGAATTCACCAGAGTCAGAGCGGGGAGCAGAGCAGGCAGAAGGACCGAAGTACACTGCTGAGGGGAGCAGCGGGCGGCAGGAGAGGTCTGTGCGCCAGGTGGGATCCTCCTCCGGTGGCCGGGGAGCAGCCGGGGATCGAGCCGGCACTGCAGTGGCTGTGGGCAGCTTCGCAACCCAGCGCTCAAGGTCCATAGAAAGCCCACTTTAAAATGGGCAAAAGATATGAGTAGACACTTTGCCAAAGGAGAATACAGATGGAAAATTAGCATTAAAGATATGTTTACAACAAAAAAATCAACCCAATTAAAAAATAGGTAAGGACTTGAACAGACATTTCTCATACGATAATGTATAAATGGCCAAGAGAAATACAAATCAAAACCTTGAGATATCACCTCACACCTATTAGGATGGCTACTATTAAAAAATAGAAAATAAGAAGTGATTACAGGATTAGAGAAACTGGGGCCCTACACATTACCGATGGGGACATAAAATGGTGTAGCCACTGTGGATAACAGTTCCTCGAATAATTAAACATAGAATTACTATTGATCCAGCAGTCCCTCTTCTGGGTACGGACCCAAAAGAATTGAAAGTAGAGTCTTGAAGAGATATTTATACATCTATGTTCATGGCAGCATTATTCACAATAGCTAGAAGATGGAAGCAAACTGAATGTCCAACTGATGAAGGGATAAACGAAATTCGGGGTACACACACACACACACACACACACACACAGAGAGAGAGAGAGAGAGAGAGAGAGAGAGAGAGAGAGAGAGAGAGACTGGCGTATTAGTCAGCTTTAAAAAGGAAGGAAATCCTGTCATCTGCTGCTACATGGATGGACCTTCAGGGAATTATTCTACATATGTCTGTCACAAAAAGACAAATACAGTATGGTGTCAGGTCACACTGTTTCATGTACTATGTTTTTATCTGTTCACCTGTATTATAAGGTGTTGGAGCAAGAAGAGCATTTTAACTTCTTTGTATTATCTACAGTGGGTTGCACCTAGTATGTGCCCAAGGTGTGTGTGTGAGGTGCTGCTGAGAGATAGTAGGGAGATAATAGGGCATTTTCCTTTGCTTTTCTTTCCTGATTTTCTTATTCAGAAGGGGAGGTAGGCTGGAGTGGGGGTAGATGGAAGCTAGCAAGAATGGGAGAATGAGGGGCGGGGGTCCTGGGGAAAGCCCTATGTAGGGCTGTTACTATTTTCCCCTTTATTTTCCTGTATCCTACGAGGTACCTGCGACTGAGTATTCTTCTCTACCTCTTTTAGGGGTACTCCTACTGAGAGATGATTAAGCATCAAATAAGATGACCAACCATCACCTCCTCACATTCCCTGACCTCAACTCCAAACAATGACCTTTACCTCCACTCCACTTTAGCCACAAACTCCCATGACCACAGCCTGGATGCCATCCACATCAACATTCTGTTCTCTGACCATAACCTCCTATTGTTGCTGTTCGCATACTGTCAACCCCACTAACCCTGTTTTGTTTTTAGATTTGAAGGGTGATGACTTTTTTAGCAGCAATAAGAACAATAATAGCTGTTTTTTACTGAGTACTTACTATGTGTCAGGTACTATGGAAAACACTTTATGGGTATTATCTTAATGTAAATGAGATGATGTAAATGTATGTAATGACGTAAATCCTATGAGATAGGTTTAATCATTACCATCCTCATTTTACAAATGAGTACTCTGAGAGTTTATATTTCCCAAGATCCCAAAGCCAGTAAATGATAAAGCCAGAAATCTGACTACAGAACTATGCTAAATTGCTTCTCCTGCAGGATTAAAAAAAATGTTATTGAGAACAGATGACAATTTCATTTTGAGAAGCCAAAGTATAATATAAAAACACTTGTATAAAGGACCCCCTGTAGTAATTATAGTTACTTTTCTACATATTTTCTGAAATATTTGTCCTTAGATATTAATCATAAATTGTTTCAACATCTGGTTCAAATTATACATTTTATTTCATCTTAAAGATTAAAATCATTGTCTTAACACCAAACAGCATGTGTTCACGATACTTTTTCATATAGAAATAATTATTAAAATAACATGACATAATTTCTCTATTTAGTAGTAGCATTTTAGCAACAGTTTTTTCATGTTAGTACAAAAAGCCATATAAAAAATTTGGACTTATTCTATTTTTTTATTTATACAAGCACTGGGTACAGTCAGAAGCACAGGAGGGTGAGAGAATTCACCAGAGCCAGAGGGGAAGGCAGAGCAGACAGAGGGACAAAGTACACTGCTGGGGGGAGCAGCGGGCGGCAGGAGAGGTCTGCGCACCATGTGGGACCCTCGCCCAGCGGCCTGGGATTAAACCGGTGCTGCAGAGGCTGCGGGCAACACAGCGCTCAACTGCTGCGCCATGGAGGAGGCCCTTTATTCTATTTTTTTTTTAAAGATTTTATTTTATTCATTTATACAAGCACTGGGTACAGTCAGAAGCGCGGGAGGGTGAGAGAATTCACCAGAGTGAGAGCGGGGAGCATAACAGGCAGACGAAGTACACTGCTGAGGGGAGCAGCGAGCGGCAGAAGTGGTCTGCGCACCATGTGGGACCCTCGCCTGGTGGCCGGGGATCGAACTGGCGCTGCAGAGGCTGCGGGCAGCTTCGCAACCCAGCGCTCAACCGCTGTGCCACCGGGGAGGCCCTATTCTATTTTTTTGATTGTTTTTGCAAACTACCAAGTGTGACAAAATAGTAAAAAAAATGTTGTAAAATGTTGCCACTGTAGTAGTTGGTTACATTTAGACTTACAATTTTATTAGGAGGACTGAACAAATTTTTTAAAACTAGCTTGTTGACCACTTTGGGATCCTTACGACTGTGGACCACCTCCTTTAAAAAAACTCTTTTTATTTTGTTAATATCTTATTCAGCTGCTGCTTCTGCACTTCTCTGGCTACTTCCTCTTTTTCACTCAAATTTAGCAAAGCACAGTCCATTACACTTAAGCCTTTAATATTTTATATTACTCCAGGAAAACAAACAGCATCACTTATGGTGAAACTAAACCTGTTTATAACCTTCATATATCCTTGACCCTCCCTTTTTCCCCCAGTATTTCAGTTCCATCATCATCCCTCTTCATTTTGATCCAGCTGATTCTGTGATTGATCATCTGAATTCCTCTATCGGCACCTTTAACACTTCTTGGCTTGGTTTTTTTTTTTTTCCTTCCAAATTCTTTAAAACTCTTTTAATAATTTTAGGTTTACAGAAGTTATTCAAAGATAGTACTCTTCTGTCAGGTTCCCCTAATATTAACATCTTATATAAAGCTATGGGCTGAACTGTGTCCCCCTCCTTTCACTCCAGAAATGAAGCCCTGGCCCCCAATGTGATGGCATTTGGAGGTGGGCCTTTGGGAGATAATGGGTTAGCTGAGGTCATGAGGGTGCCCTTCTGATGGGATCAGCATCCTTATAGGAAGAGACCAGAGTTCTTGTGCTCACTGTTCCTTCACACACAAGTAAATATTAAGTAAAAAATACTCAACAGTTTTGTTGATCTCAGTATCTTTTCTTACTCTATGCTATCTCCCACCCATGTAGCACCCACATCTGGAATCAGTACTCACTCTAAGCTATCTGACAGGATTGTAGGCCCCTGGGTTGCTTACTGAGACCCCATGACCACTCAGATCTGAGTGATCCTACCCCCTTATACTATTTGGCTTTTCTTTTTTCAAGTAGAAATTCTGAGAAAGAATCACTTACCCAGAGCTTTAATGTTTGAAGTAAAGTAAGCTTTATGTGGATTCTGGCTTCTTATGATTTTTGCTGACATTAGAAACATTCAAACCATAGCCAATACCTGCTAGTCTGAGAGGCAGCCACTTCCATGGATCTGGCTTGCTGCCACTTTAAACCCAATTCAAGTCACTTTTTTCTATGACACAGTGAAATATTTTTTCAAAAGTCTAAGTATTTTATGAACTCTAAAGAAGATATAAGAATCACTACCTTAGAAACCAGAGACATTCAAGCACTGATCTATTCATAGAGTTTCTACACAGATGAAGAAGTTTCCATCAAATGGACAAAAAAAAAACAGTACCAAAGACCTATATATACAGAAAGATCTAAAAAGCCAGTCAGATGGATTCAAAGAACTCATTGCATGTAGGAGAGTCAATGGCAGACGATGCAAAACCTTCTGCTGGGAATAAAGAATTAGTCCACGTAAACAAAAAATGTAATTTCTCTTTCTTCTTGATTTAAATGCTTTAATCTGAGTTCAGAGAACAGTCATGATCATTTGAACTGGTTGTCAATCAAGGTCCCCTTCATTTTCGCTTTCTTGGCTTCCAGTTCAGCCTAAGAGGAAGAAAAGTACATGTACTGATACATGACATGAAATTGTTATTGTCCTAGCTTTTCCCCCTGCCTGCTTGTGTCTGTGCAAGCGCTGTCTCTTCCTTTCCTTTTAAAATGTAAAAAAAGATAAAAGAAAAATAAATCCTTATTTTCCTTCTTTATTCTTACTGCCTAAACTCTATCCCTTAATGTTCATTTAGTATTCAAACTAGAATAGTGGCTCTAAATCTAGTGGTTCTGAATCTCTAGCAACTGCTTCCCAAGCTTTCCAATGATATGGCACACGTAGAAAATGATAGTGCCTGTAGGCAAAATGGGGCGAGCACACAAGGCTGAGGTCTGTAGTGAGGAGTGCAGCAATTATCCCACAGCCCCAGGACCCCAAAGGGCAAGGTGATCAGTGTTGTGCTATCCTAGAATACTATTCTCGGCAGAACAGGAAAAAAAATGCTGATCTAGAACAGTGCTACTTCATGTTGTGTGGTGAACTGCTTGTTACTGGCTCATGCAAGATACAAAATTTGAGAATTAGGATTTAGAAGCTTCTATAGCAATTTGACAGAGTAATAATAACTTAATAAGTGAAACAAAATCTTGTTTTATTTCATTTTATAAATTACAAATCTGTTCTTGACAAATAGGAAATTTTTAAAAATGAAGAAAGCCCCCATCCTTCACCTCAGAAAATTTGATCAGCACTGCTCTAGTGAGGGAAAACGGCCCACAAGACCCACCACCTCTGTCAGCAAAAGAGCCTTCCCAGTCACTACACTACACTGGTACAATTTTTGAGGAGGCACCAGTGCAGTGAGGTCCAATCTTAATGCGACTATTATTTTTTAAAAAAACTACTAAGGGCCTCCCCAGTGGCGCAGCGGTTGAGCGCTGGGTTGCGAAGCTGCCCGCAGCCTCTGCAGTGCTGGTTCGATCCCCGGCCACCGAGCGAAGGTCCCACATGGCACACAGACCTCTCCTGCCACCTCTCCTGCCACCCGCTGCTCCCCACAGCAGTGTACTTCGTCCCTCTGCCTGCTCTGCTCTCCCCTCTGGCTCTGGTGAATTCTCTCACCCTCCTATGCTTCTGACTGTACCCAGTGTTTGTATAAATAAATAAATAAATATTTTTAAAAAAAACTACTAAAAAGAAGTGTAGGCAGCACGAAACTTAAATGTTTGTACTTCCCAAGGAGCCCCTCAATAATGCAGGACAGACCTAGCAGAGCTTTAAGAAGCAACAAAGAGCTAGGTTCCTGGTACTACTGTACCCTGAAGTCCAATCGTTAATTCTTCACCTTGGCCACAAGCAGATTAACTACCACTCTGGCTAGGGAGAGGCTAGGGAGAGCTAACAAGCATTCGGGGCCCAGATTTTGTGGTCACTACTCCAGGGCAAAGTGCACTCACTGTCAGAGCCCAGGGCTGGAAACTGGTGGCCACTTCACCAGTAACCTACACAGACTTCCTGAGGTATGTTCCCCCTGCTGAGGATCTTCTAGACCAAGAAATCCAGACAGTGAAGCCCAGCCCCTTGTCAGCCCAGGCCACTCACCAGCTCCTGTAGCCGCCTCTTGCTCATGCCTTTGCGCTCCAGCTGTTTTTCAATCACTTTGGCATTCTGTGCATAAGAGTCAGCAACTTCCCTCTAGGGAGTAAAGAAGAATCCTTAAACCCGCAGTCACACCAACGAGTAACAACGACCTTCGGTAGCCATTTACCCTACTCGAATTATGAAATTATTGCTGAAATGGCAAGACTCTCTTCCCTTTCGACTCTCATCTTTTCAATAATCCAGGAGAGTTCAGAGTTCCACCAAAACCATTTTTAAAATAACAGATAACATCACTCCACAGACATCATCAGAGGGAAGCACCACAAAGGAAGTTGCTGCTGCTGCCAAGGACAGGCTCACAAGCCAGCAGAGCTGGGCTAGAAGGGAACAGGAGTCACTGAGCCCAATCATTTTTAAACTGAAGCTGAACGATGGATTTAGTCCCTAAGGCACTTCAAAAGTATGTAAAAAATATCATTGATCTAACCCAAATCCCTGGCTCTTGTTTTACAGAAGGCCTTGAGATACGGGGTAGGAACTAGCTTGGGGTCATATTTCTTCTTACTAGCAGAGGCAGGTCCATGAGCAGAGTTTCTTAGGGTTCTGCTGCTCCATACTCTAGTCTTAGAATCCCCTTTGCTCCCCCCCGCACCCACCCAATTTCCCTGAGAGTAGACACACTTACAGCCTCAATCTCCTCCTCCTCTTCATCAATAGTAGACACAGTGACTGAGCTGAACTTGCCCATGTCTTTAGTCCGTTTGGTCATCATCACCTGGAGTCACAGGAATAGAATGAGTGAGTGTGTATGCATGCAGGGGGTGCGTTTGGGACTGGATGGCCTATCTAAAAGGGTCGCTGTTTTTATTTGCATTATATTTTGTAACATTTGCCATCAAGGGTTTCTAAGGTATGTTTAAAACTTAACTGATTCTTTCCATTTTTAATTATTCACAATGGAAAAAGAAATTTCAAAGGAAATAAATGTGACAAAAACCACACAGTTTCTAATTTGACTCATAAGGCAGCTGGAGGGGAAAAAAAAAAGCACACAGAATAGAAATCACAAGCGGGTAACCCTGCTTAAATACAAAATGGCACTCTCTTAACAAAGGATGCAGTCACAAAGGGCAGTTTCTTGTACTCCAGAATTTTGTTTTGTTTCTTTTTTTACTTGGGTTACTCCATAATCTTATTTAACAATCTGGGACTACATCTGCAGCTGCATTAAGCATCTGTCTCCTTCAGTGGTGCTCACCTTTTTAGGAGGCTCTTGTTTCTGAGTATATATATTCGTTTTCCCAAAACCCTGGCCAAACTTGACCACAGCTCCATCCACAATGAAGGTCACGGGTGCATTCTTCGGCTGGGACTGGTAGAAGAGAGGCAGTCCACACCTACAAACAGCAGAGTGAGTCTCTGGGAAGCCTCTGGATCCAAATCCCCCAAATACCAATTTGACTGGCAGTGTGCTTAGATGCTGAAGATATTTTTATTTGTGGCATAAACGAATGATTAACTCTTCCTGGAGTTTTCCCAATCCACTTGATAAGAATCATGGAGTGAGCCTGTTAAAAGTGCTGATTAGATTCCTACGTCCCTCATCCCTCGCCAGAAGATCCTGATTCAGCAAATCTTGGGGAGAGTAGAGGAGGGTGGTGAGGCCTGGGAATCAGTCATTTTCCTCAGTGTCCCAAGTGATTCTGATCATTAGACAAGTTGAGGAAATGCTGGCTCCTGGACTGATTACTTTCCAGTCAAAACTGCCACCATTCTTCCAAGGCATGGAGCCTGGGAACCAGTATGGGGGCTTTGGGCTAGTTTTGTGCTATTTTGTTTTTGCAGCATCAAGAGAAGTGTAAAGGCTCCATACAGCGGCTGGCAATCTAACCCCTGTAATAATTGCTGTACGTTTTTTGGTTGGCCATTTTTATTCTATTTTTTTTTCAGCTCAATGAAGGAGACCTATAAAACATTATAAAACCAATTTAATGAATCCAGTGTGTCCCCAGACTAAAATGCCTTCTTATCTACCTTCTCTGTTTAATACTCAGCCTGAGTCTTATGAGAGCCAAGCTATAACTAGTTACATCAATACCACTGAACTTAGTATAGCTTAAAATTGTTACTATTAACAGACTAAAGCTGGAAATCTGTATATATGTATATATTTTTTCTTTAAATAATAATCTCTAAACTAAGGCTCTTAGACTTGGATTAAATTACACAGTGTTACATTTACCATATGACCCAGCAATCCCACTCCAAGAGAAAACACACGTTTCCACCTAATCTATACTACAAGATACATAGCAACTTTGTTTATAATAGCAAAGCTGGAAACAATCCAAATGCCCTTCAGTGGGTAAATGGCTAAATTGGAATACTACTTAACCGCACAGGGAAACTACTGATATACATAATAGTATACATGGATGAATCCCAGAAGTTTATGCTAAGTGAAAGAAACTAGACATACAAGGTACATCTGTAGAATGTATATATAATTTTAGAAAAGGCAAAACCGTCAAAAGGGGCATGTGGAGTGCTGGGATGGACATTCATATCAGGATAGCAGTGATGTCACATGACTATGCTTTTGTCAAAATTCATCCAATTGTATACTTAGGATAGACAGCTTTTATTGGTATATAGCTGAAGTCTGAAGGCTGTTGAGATTAGAAGGATAAAGACGTAACAGGGAATTGTAGCCAAATCATTCTCGTCCTAATACTTAACCTCTGCTTGCTTATGCTTGGAAAAACCCAGTACTTACTTTGCACACTTCTTCCTGTATTGTCGTTCAATGCCTTCAGGCCTACAAGGAAAATGGAAGTTAAAAATAAAAAAAGATGAACCAAGCTCATAACCTACCTATCTCATTTGTTCAAATGCTAAAAAGGTCAAACATTTTCATTTCATAGATCAACTGACAGGTTAAACAAGTCTTAATTTTTCAAAGTTCCAGCATTTCTTCCTTCCACCGAAATTGGCTGAGTCAGGCATCTCCCTGCTGGGAGACGGGGGGTGGGGGAGGTGGGCAGGGCTACTTTTACTGTGTTCAGTGTGCCAGTTGGTGTTTCAATGTGCACATGTACTAACTCATTTAATCCTTACAACAAGCCCCTAAGCACAAAGCAATTTACATAATTTGTCCATGGTCACAGAGTAGAGTAGGTTGAAGTCAAGTCCAGGCCTTCAAGCTCAAGACTCCAAACAACAATGTCTTAGATAACCACCTCAGATAACCACTTAGATAAAGACTCAATTCCACCTGCCCATAAACCTAACAGAAACCTGGGACTCATTCTTGATTCTTCTCATCTACTTCATTAGCAGATCTTGTGGATTACCTCCAAAATAATAGATGATGAACCCAAGTACTTTTCTCTACATTCCTGCTACCATGTAAGCCCAGGTCACGAGTACCTCTTCCTGGACTACTGTCACAGCTTCCTGACTGGTGCTCCTGGCCTCTTGTGTGGCTTTAAATTTTCAATAAGCAATACATATTGCCTATTATGGAATATATAAGAATATAAAATGAAAAACAAATAGCTTCTCCACTCAGTTCACTTCCCCAGAGGCAAATACTGCCTCTGCTTTCTTCTGTTCCTCCCAGAGATAGCTGATCAACACATGAGAAAAGAATCCTTATTGGTAGATAAAAAAAATAATTTTCTTTCCCTTTTCAGACAAATGAAGCATAACTTACACTGTTCTCTACCTTTTCATTCACTTAAAATATTTCTTGGTTAAAAGATAAATATATGTTCCTTAGCTACCAACTGATAATAAGCTGCTTCATTCTTTAAAAGGCATACACTGTATTCCTTTGTGTGGATGAACCACAATGCCTTTTACCTGTTGGATAAATTCCTAGAAGGGTGTCCATTTAAAATTTTAATGAATGTCGCCAAATTACTCTGTGGAGAAGGTGAACCAATCCACACTCCCACAAATGTGAGAGTTCCTGTTCCCCTACACTCACCAACACTGTTATTAAAGTACATTATTGTCAATCTGACACGTGAAACATGGAATATCATGATTTGCATCTCTTTTTTTAAAGAGTGAAGTTAGGTATCTCTTCATACATTTAACAGAAGTCTGTACTTTCTTTTTTGGTGAACTTTCAGTTCACGCTCTTCATCTACCAAGTTGTCTTAATTTTCTGTTAAGTAGACTTGCAAATGTTTCTTCCCCAGTTTAACATCTGTCTTTGATTTTTCCCCCCACAGAACTATTTCAGACTTTTGTGTATTTTAGATTTTGTCATACTGATCTTGTGTGTGTTTGTGTGCATGTGCGAGACCTAGGCCTTTCCCATTCTAAATTCTTATCTAAAATAAAAATTCCCACTGCCTACACTAGAATCTGCTGCGACTACCATCTGACTCCAAATCCTTCCCTAAATAGAGGCAAAGAACAGCTTCCAAGTCACTTAGAATGAAATCCAACTCCTTCCATCGCCTACCAGACACTGGCTGAGCACATCATTGGGCCCCTGCCTTCTCGTGCATTCCCTCCCTGCCCGCACACACTAGCCTCACCAGTCTTCCTTCTATTCTTTGGACAAACAAGCACTTCCCCCTCCTTTCCCACATGCTCTTTTCTTTGCCTAGAATGCTCTTCTTGCCGATTTGTCACAGATGCCCTGTTCTCATCATTTTTGCTCTCAGTTCAAATACCATCTAGTCATACAGACCAACCCTGACCACTTTTTCCAAAAGGCTCTCATGTGAGTCTCTGATTGAGCTCTCTGTTTCATTCATGAGTTTCCAATTATTTTATTTTTCTGTCATCCCACTAGATTACAAGGACCATCAGATCAGAGAGCATGGAGACCACCCCTGACAGTCTCTCCACTCTATCCCCAGAGCTGAGCAAAGCACTGGAAACAAAGTAAACACGCGATAAATATTGGTTGAATTAAGAATTTAGTTTAGGGGCTTCCCTGGTGGTGCAAGGGGTTAAGACACAACCTATGAAGCTGTCCGCAGCCACTGCAGCAGGAGTTTGATCCCCGGCCAGGGAGCTACCCACATGGCGCAGCAGACCTCTCCTGTCTCCCTTGCTGCTCCCCTCAGCAGTGTATTTCAATAGATCTGTATGTTCTGTTCCCACTCTGTCTCTAGTGAATCCTCTCACCCCCCACACCTCTGGCCTGTACCTCATGCATAAATATCCATAAATAAAAATAAATCTTTAAAAAAAGAATTTAGTTTAATGAGGAAAATTGTAATAATGGAGGTAAGTTCTTAAATGGAGGAATGTGTGTGATGTAAAGAGAACACAGAGATGGGAGTACCAAGTCTGAATGCAGAGATTCAACTGACTTCTAGAATCCTGAAACCAGCCAGTATTATTTTAAGACTGGGCTTTCAAAACAGAAATATCAAATAAAGGGGGCTCTGAATTTCCCAATGGGTTAATCTTCAAATACCAAGGATAAAAGGGATTTTGTCAAGCTTACAAAAATTAATCTACTCCTGTGTGCCAAGATTCAAGCAAGATGTCCTAAGGGCTTCAGAAGTATAAGGCATTCAGGATTCAGGCTTCATGTCCTGAAAAAGCTCATTTTATTGAGACATTGAGACTCTAATGTGAACGAGATAAAGCATTTAAGTATGATTAGAAAGAAGTGATTATGTGAGATAGATGTTGGTTTTCTCTCCTGCCCTTAATCTCTAGGACTATGAGAGACAGGGAAGGCTGAAAACAAAACAAAACCTTATTCCTGATTTGATGGCCAGTCTGAGACAGTCCCCAAATATCCTTGCCCCCTGCTATTACACCCCTGTGTAGTCCCTTCCCACAATGAACGGGCTGAGCAGTGACACCAGTAGAACACTGCAGAAATGATGATATGTGACTTCTGGGTTTTGGTCACAAAAGACATTGTGGCTTCTGTCTGGCTAATGTCTGTCATGACTAATCCGAATTAGTCATGCTGTAGGAGTCAGCTACCATGCCGTGAGGATGCCCAAGCAGCCCTATGGAACCTTGTGGTGAGGAACCAAAACTTCTCATCAGCAACTAGTTAGCACTCAGCTGCCAACCATAAGCATAAGCCGCCCTGGAAGTGGAACCTCCAACCCTAATCAAGACTTCAAATGAGACTGTACGCATAGTCAGCATCTTCACTGCTGCTTCAGGAGACCAGAACCAGCCAATTAAGTTGGTCTTGAATTTGGGACCCACAGGAAATACATGAGATGATAAATGTCTATTGTTTAAAAAAAAATAAAGATGTACCAGGAGATGCAGATGAACAGGCAGGCCAAGGCCAGATCACAGAGTTTTCTTCAGGCTTGAGTTTTATCCTGGAAGCTAGGATTGCTAAAACTGTGCACAAGGATCCTTAAATAAAATCAGGTAAGGGTGGAGAGGAGTCCTTAGTGAATCTGGCTCTACTATTCCCCAATCAGAGCAGTTTCCTGCTTCCTGGTTTATACTTCTGGATAAGAATTTCATTTGAAGAAATGAAAGGCACTGTTGGAGGTAAAGAAGAGCCCTTTGGCCTCACCAAAGATCTGAGGCATTTTATATCATTCAGGCAGCAGCAGTAGATTGGCAGAGAGCAAAACTAGAGGCAAAGACCAGGTAAGAGGCCACATAAATGGCTCAAGCAAGAGAGTTTGGGTCCTGGGCATGAAGGGAGAGCAGCAGTGCTGACATGAGACAGTCACAAGAGAGATTAGCAGGTGGAACGGACAGGACATGGTACGTGACTGGATGTGTACAGGGGCTGGTGGGGGCTGGGATGGATGAGACAAAGAGGACTGACTCCCAAATTTCTGCCTTCAGCTTATGTATTAATGGTGATGTCATCATAGAAGGAGGAAAAGAAGGAATGCGATTGGATGATCATTTACAGAGACCCATCAACATAAGAGCCTATTCTCAAGTAAAAGGGGTCCATAGGAAGGTGGTTCCTAACAATGGGAGAGCCAAGAAGAACATGGCAAAAGCTCTGCAATTCTTGTGGCCTTTCCTTCCCAGTCCTGGGATGGTTCTTGATACTCCAATTATCACATTCATTTTCCAAAAAGTAGGCAGGAATAAAAGCAGAAGAGTAAAAAGGGTTTTCATTGGAAGCCTCACACAAATTCTCCTACCATCCCTTTTACTGGCAAAAGCTAAATCACATTCAGAATCTTAGTGTTTTGGGGGAAGGGAGCAGGAATATGTTCCTGACTTTATAGATACCAGTATACAGAAGGGGGCTGGAGCTGAGTGAACCAATCTGTAGTATTTTCAACACTAGAGCAATGATAACTTTGGCCTTAGTCATGCTGGAACTGAGGTAGAACATCAGGTTAAATGGTAGAGCAGGCAGTTACATATACAGAGAGAAATGTATACAGATTTAGATTTTGTGAGTCATCAGCATACAAGTGTAACTGATGCTATGAAAAGTGGCAAGGCTGTTGAAAAAGAGTATAGAGAAAGGGTAAAATCAAGGTCACAGCTCTGGGGAATATCAACATTTAAGGGACAGGCAGAAGACTCCAAAAGACCAAGAAGGCTGAAAGAGTGGGAGAATCACAAGAGCAGCTTCACAGAAAGCAATGAAGGAGAATCAAGGGAGGCACAGTCAAGACAGACACAGAAAACCACCCACTGGATTTACACTGGGGGATAGGTGGTGAATGAGGGAAAGAGGACCCTAGGGGACAACAGTGTCAAATGGGAGGTACATCAGAATGGAAGACCTGGAAGTAGAACAGGATGAGCTCCAGAGCACGTGTTGGCAGACAGCCTGATTTTCCCATACTCAGTGTTCCCATAGTCAGCTGAATAAAGAGGAAGGAAGAGCAGACCAAAATTCCACCCTGGCCAGGAGGGAGCACACTAGAGTGGGCCCTTGGAAAGACTGCTCACGATTAGAGCAGGAACTATGTCAGCCAAGAGGCAAGTTTGCCGTGCCTGTTGGTAAACTAAGAATTCTGTGGCCCAAGACTCATGTGGCCAGAGGCGAAGGCTAGGTCTGAAGTGGGCTCACTTCCAGGATCAAGCCCATTGGATCCCAGGGTTTCTACTTAGCCAACAGTCACCAGTTTCCTAAAGGTGCCTTATAATGCCATCGGAGGCTGAGGCCTGCTTGTGTTGTTAGATTATTTTCTGTACTAACTGCATAAGACATACATTATATATATATATATATATATATATATACAGAATACACACACACACACACACTACTGTTGTATAATCATAATTATATGGATAGTCATTATATTATATATAAGTATATAACTTGTATGTTATAGTATATAAATCTATTTTGATATACAATGCTATAAATATTTTAGTGATCCTAAAGTTAGGCAGCTGATACTATTTAAAATGAGTTCATAGAGGAAGAAAAAGCACAAGAGACTGATTAGCTTTAGATAGGGCATGTTCTTTATAAACCTTGCTATATACCATAATGTACAGTTTTCTCAATGTTCCCTGAAAGACCTTCCTTTGTGAACTTCTTAAATGCTATAACTTGCACCCCAGTGGTATGTGTACATAACCAACTTTCTCTTCAGCTGCACAATTCTAGAAGTCCTGTTGTCACAATGGTGCTTGATGCCTCATTCGTTACAGCAGTGCTAGCAGATACCTAGCAGTGGCTGCTAACTCTTTTCATTCATGTGGGGTAACACTAGTTTGGTTTCTTAAATAAATAGTGTGAGATGTCCACCTGTAGCTTTTTGTAATTCAACACCAGAATATAAGCTCCGTAAGGGCAGGCTCTTTGCTTGCTTACTAGTTGTAGCAGGTTGGATAGTGACCCTTAGAAAGTCATACCCATGAACCTCAGAAAATGGAAAGTGGGTCATTGGACAAGGTTCAACAAAATTTTTTTATTAAAGATGAGGTTGTGTAGATGAGGAGAATGTGTCTTTATTTCAGTGTAACTTATAAGAAGAAAAGAAACAAACACAGGGAGAGGGCCCTGTGATGGCAGGGACGCGACTGGAGTGACGTATCTGTAAGCCAGCGAATGCCTGGGAATGTCAGCAAACACCAGCAGAGGTTAGGAGAGGCAAGGACTGATCCTCCCCTACAACATTCAGAGGCAGCAAGGCCTTACTGACACCTTAATTTCAGACTTCAGCCTCCGGAGCTGTGCAGAACTCTGACACAATTAATTTCCATTGAGTTAACCCACCAGCTTTGTGGTACTTTGTGACAGCAGCTCTAGGAAACTAATACAGTGTTACAGCTCAGGCTTCCAGAAATGTGCTTGACACACAGAAGGAGCTGGGAAATGAAATATTTGCTGAATGAATGGATGGGCTTTTTAATTCCCTAAGACTGAACTCTCTAGGTCAAGAGGTGGCATCTGGCACCTATTGAACACCACCCTCCCCTACTCACTCTCCCTTCTTGAAACCCTCTCCTTTCATTTTCCACATCTCCAAGTTTTCCTGGTTCTGATCCAATTACTTTAATCCGCTATTTAAATGTCACTGTTGCCCAGGATTGTATCTTCAGTCCTCTTTTTCTCTTATCCCATACACTTTCGTGTAATATTGTGCCTTCCCAGGTTTCAATTTCCCCATACATTAAAGACTCCCAAATCTAAACTAGATCTAAGTAGGCCTCCCTGGTGGCCTAAGGGTTAAGTCTCAGCGCTATCACACTATCACCGCTGCAGCCTGAGTTCAATCTCAAGCCAGGGAGCTAACCCACATGGTGCAGCAGACCTCTCCTGACTCACCCGCTGCTCCGCTCAGCAGTGTATTTCAGTAAATCCACCTGCTCTGCTCCCTACTGTCTATGGTCAATCCTCTCATCCCCCATACCTCTGGCCTACACCCCAGTTCTACTATGCATAAATAAATCTTAAAAAAAATAAAATAGACCTAAGCATGTCACTCTCCTGCTTGAAAGAGATGAGTATTGTCTACAGATAGAGTCCAAATTTGTCAACTTCAGGATATTTTACTGTCCTCACCCCAGAATCCCTTCTTATACAGGAACCTGTGCTTTAGCCACAAAGGACTATTCAAATTTCTCAAGCACACCCTATTTGATGCTTTGAATGCTCCCATAGTCCCTCCATCCGGAGTGCTCCTCACCCCCTCCTAGTTGGAGAAATCCTAGTTTAAGCCCAAACACAGATGTCACTAACTTTTGGTGCCTTTTCTGACAACCATTCAGGCAGAGTGCCCACTCCTATTTCCTGTAGCCTTCTGGTCACCGCATCACGATTTTTGTCATATCCAGTCACAACAGGTAGCCTGTTCCCGAACTGAGCCATAGCTCTTTAACCATCAGGACAGTACCTGACTCATCTTCTCAATTCCAGTCCCTAGCTCAGTGCCTGGCATATGGTATGTTCCAAGAGATTACAGATTAAATGAACTCACTCTACTTGCAAAAAACAAGACAAATTACAGCTATTGAATGGCAAGAGAATCACATTTCAGCACCACTTCAACAAAGCACAACAAAGGTGTTGCTGTATTAACAGAAGTTAGAGAACCACCACAAATGCCACATGCACTGGATCCAAATGGATGGCTTATTCCACACTAGATATTTATAGTCCTCAGAACTAGGCCCTAACACACAGGGAAATCCTAGACAGAGACCATCAGGCACCTACCTCCGAAGATACATAGTCTCCTCGTCTTCTGTATTACAAAACTTGTGGGCATGTTTGGCAGCATCAATCACACGGGACCGATCCCGGGGCCTCATGGGCAGTTTCTCTAACTGACAGTCTGAAGGAACAGAGAAAGATTTGGTCAGTACAGCCACTGAAAAACATCCTCATGCAATCAGAAGTTTTCAGTCAGGCCCTCAGCACTGTAACTTTCCACCATAATTGCAAGACTTAAGTCTATTAAACTTACCAACTAAAACTGACTAGGTGTCCTGAGACCCAGATTTTTAAGCCCAGCTCTGTTACTACCCTGGTGATATTTGACAAATCACTTCCTCTTTGGGGGTCTTTTTCCTTATTTGAAAGATAAATATAGATATTATCACAAAAGTCCGCCCCAGCACTGAAATTCAAGTTTTCTGAGTAGGCCTGTGATCATGATACACTTGGTTGGTGTTATAATGCATTAGAATCAGAAGAGACAGGTAAAATACAGCTCTCCTGGGCCTCCCTGGTGGCGCAAGGGGTTAAGCACCGCACTATGAAGCAATCCACAGCCTCGGCAGCACGAGTTCGATCCCAGCCAGCCAGGGAGCAACCCACATGGCGCAGCAGACCTCTCCTGTCTCGCCCGCTGCTCCCCTCAGCAGTGTATTTCACTCGGTCTGCCTGTTCTGTTCCCCACTCTGTCTCTGATGAATCCTCTCAGCCCCCTGCACATCTGGCCTGTACCCCAGTTCTTGTATGCATAAATAAATAAATCTTTAAAGCATCTTTATGCATACAAGAACCGGGGTATAGGCCAGAGATGCAGGGGGGTGAGAGGATTCACCAGAGACAGAGCGGGAAACAGAACAGGCAGACTGACCGAAATACACTGCTGAGGGTAGCAGCAGGTGAGACAAGAGAGGTCTGCCATGCCATGTGGGTATCTCCACCGCCGGCTGGGATCAAACCCGTGCTACAGAGGCTGCAGACAGCTTCACAGCGCTGTGCTCAACTGCCTGCGCCACCAGGGGAGGCCCTGCATAAATAAATAAATCTTAAAAAAAAAAACTTGGGGAAAAAAAATACAGCTCTCCTGCCCACCTGTGACTATGCAAGTACCTCTCTTTTTCTGCAGTCAAATGCTCTATCCTTGAGCTATACCCCTCTTTGCTTCTCTTTTTCTTTCTCCTTTCCTAATAAGCCTGTCCTTTTAATATGTTAAAAAAAATCAGAAGGGACCATCAAATGTGCTCCAACACCTATGATGAAGACAGTGGGGAAAATGTATAAGTGTTTAGAAAGAGAGAGAGAGGTTGGGTGGTATACTATATATAGAAAGCAAATGACCCATCCCAGTAAGAGGGATTCTAACATAAAAGCATACAGGAAACAAATTAGGCGTAGTTATAAAGTAGATGCAACATTGATACAATCCAAATTAAGTACCTAAAGGCTCACAGAGAAAGTCAAGTGCTCAAAGTAATTTGAGATTAATGGAGGAGGTGGAGAGGGCAATCAGAGACCGCCAGGCAGTTTGCATGCTGGCTCATTACTCTTCACAATGTCCTGTTAGAGTAGACACTTAGTATTCCTACTTCAAAGAAGAGGAATTGAGGCTTAGAAAGGCCGAGAGATTTGCCACGCATTTAAGAAGCAGAACAAGAATTTAGACCCAACTCTAGGTGTTTCGAAGAAGAACTCACTTACTCAGGAAATGTAAAAGGACCCTCTATGTACCACGCACAATTCAAAGAGTGTGCTGCAGATTCAGCAAAAAACAAAGGAGGGGGCCTCCCCGGTGGTGCAGCGGGTTAAGCGCAGCACCGTGAATCTGTCCGCAACCTCTGTAGCGCAGGTTTGATTCCTGGCCGGCCAGGGAGATTCCCATTTGGTGTGGCAGACCTCTCCTGTCTTGCCCACTGCTCCCCTCAGCAGTGTACTTTGGTCCTTCTGCCTGTTCTGCTCCCTGCTCTGTCTCTGGTGAATTCTCTCACTCTCCCGCACCTCTGGTCTGTACCCCAGTGCTTGTATAAATAAATAATAAATCTTGGGCCTCCCTGGTGGCGCAGCGGTTGAGCGCTGGGTTGCGAAGCGGCCCGCAGCCTCCGCGGCGCCTGTTCGATCCCCGGCTGCTCCCCGGCCACCGGAGGAGGGTCCCGCATGGCGCGCAGACCTCTCCTGCCGCCCGCTGCTCCCCTCAGCAGTGCACTTCGGTCCTTCTGCCTGCTCTGCTCCCCGCTCTGGCTCTGGTGAATTCTCTTACCTTCCCGCGCTTCTGACTGTACCCAGTGCTTGTATAAATAAAATAAATTAAATAAATAAATAAATAAATCTTTAAAAAATAATAATAATAATAAATCTTAACAAAAAAAACAAAGTCCCTACCCTGATACAGTTTATATCAGTTACTAGCAGAGGAGGCAGAAAATTTTAAAATAATAATTATATAATATGATCCTGGATAATGATAAGTGCTAATAAAAAATCAAGCAGGATATGAAGAGAATGAAACTGATTTAGAAAACGATATGTGAGTGATAATGGTAAGTGAATTAGATAATAAGAAGAAGCAGGGTAAAAGGACAATGGGTGACAGAGGGGACTATTTTAGATAACGTAGTCAAGGAAGAGTTTTCTAGGGAAATGACATTTCATCAGAAAACTGAATGAAGTGAGGAAACACTGAGGGAAGAGCATTGCAGGCAGAAGAAATAGCAATCCCAAAGGTCCTGGGGGCAGGAACATTTTGACATATGGAGAAAAACCAAGAAGGCTACAGCAGCTGGAGTGCAATGAGAAAAGGGAAAGTATCAGGAGATGAAGTCTGGGAGGCAGTGGACATCTGATCGTGCAGGGTCTTGGTATGGACTTCTGTTGTATTCTTGGTGTTACAAGAAAACACCAGTTTGGAACAGGTGTTTTGAGAAAGGTGTTTTGGAACAGGTGTCTGCTTTGAGAAAAATAAACAGTGGGAACAAAGCGTGGACAGCAAGAAACTATTGTGACAATCCAGGTGAAGGATGATGGTGGCTTGCACTAGAGTGGTAGAAATGGAGGTGGTAAAAAAAGTCAGACTCTGGATAGATTTTCAAGAAAGCACGTGCAGAATCTATTGATGGACTAGATGTATAAAGTCTGAAAGAGAAGAATGATTCTCAGATACCGGACAAATAATGCTGACTGCAACAGGGAAGACAGAGGGGAACAATGGAGAGACTAGGGGAAGCTGGTTCTGAACATGATCTCTTGAGATGCCCATTAGACATCCAAGTGGAGATGCTGAATAGGTAGAGCTGGATGAAAGGTGCAGGTGAAAGATGAACACTTGTGAGTCTTTGGCATATAAGTGGCATTTAAAGCTTGGGAATGGTTGTGATCACATAGGAACTGAGTACGGACTGCGAATAGCTGAGGGGGCTGGGACCCAGGGCCTTGCAATGCCTAAAAGTCTGAGACAGAAAAAGGAGCCAGATGCTGAAAAGCAACAAAGTTGAGGTAAGTGTAAAATCAGGAGAGTGTAGGTAGAGTCTTGGATGCAATGAAAGTGTTTCAAAGATAAAATGGTTGTCCGTCAAACGGCACTGAGAGGGAGATTAAAGTGAGCATTTAAAATGGACCACTGAACTTGTAACACGTTCAGTGAGTAAACTTGGACGGTGGGGTGGGAAAGAAAGACTGCCTGAAGTGAAGTCAAGAGGCAATGGGAAGTGAGCATGCAAAAGCCAAATAGGCAGCTCTCTTCAGAAGCTCTGCCATAAAAGCAGCAAAGAAATAGGGTTAGAACTGGGAGGGGGAGATGAAGAGTTAAGGGCAGTTTTTATTTGAGTTTAAGATAAGAGCAATTACAGCGTCCTTGCAGCCAACAGAATACTTACAAAGTTTCTAAATGTGGTCAATGAGACGATAACGTGTGATAACGTGTTTTTTTTTTTTCTGAAAAAGGATTTCGTTTTCAGGAAACTCTAGCCACAGAGTCATAAGGTTAACCAGAAAACAGAAAAGATGCCCGCGGTGGAGCCGAGTGGGAGAGGGCGGATGCTGAAGGAGAGGGCAAAAGCCCACCAGCCCTCCAAGGGGCGTGGCTCCAAGTCTCAGCCCGAGGAAATTCGCCCTCTCTAGCAGACGCCCCCCACTTGCCGGCTACTCACCCAGCACCAGCACCATCTGGCCGCACAAACAATAGTAAACGTGAAGGGGCTTCTCGCCGTCGTCATATTCCTCCCGGTCCCGTGTGTCGGAGCAGACCACCGAACGGGACACTACTTTAGGCATGATGCTGAAGAGCAACCAGAACGTAATACCAACAGTCAGGGTCGCGCGGGCATGACGTCACAAACGCGCGCCGTACCTCTTCCTTACAGTAAAGCCAGTCACGTGTCGGTAGTAGTCAAGTCAACTTCCGGGCCGTGCCATTAGGCTGAGATCCACGGGGCCGCACTGAGGCTCCCAGGAGCTCCTTTTCCTTGGCCAGAGTTAGCTTGGGCTGCTTTACTTGGGACGCTCTTAATGTTACTTACGTTGTTCATTACTATTCCTAGACTCCTAGGCATATGTATACATATAAAACCAGATATCACAAAGGACAACATATTCCACCTTATATGCAATAGTGCAGATTTTAGGTTTGCCTCTAAATATGATTTTGATCTTAGTGGCTATATTCAGGATGCATAATTAATGAAGCAGAGGTATCTTTTTAAATTTGAGGCATAATTCACATAACATAAAATTCACCATTTCCAAGTACATAATTCAGTGGTTTTTAAGAGATTCACAAAGTCATGCAATCATTATCATTATCTAATTCCAGAACATTTCCAACAGCTCTAAAAGAAATCCCATATCCATTAGCAGTCACTCTCACCACCTCTTTCGCAGCCACTGGCAACCATTAATCTACTTTGTCTCTATGGAGTTGCCTGTTCACATGAATCAAGTAATATACGTGGTTATTGGCGTCTGGCTTTTTTTATTTAGCATAACTTTCATCCATATTGTAGTGAAAATCAGTACAAGTGGTAAATGACTTAGTATAAAGAAACTTCACGTCTTTTTAAGCCTGAATAATACTGTTGTATGGACATACCGTTTCTTGTTTAGTCTTCCTTCAGTTGATGAACATTTGGGTTGTATCCACTTTTTTGGTAATGACAACCAATGCTACTATGATCCCCTAGTGTACAAGATTTTTTTGTGAGATAGTGCTTTTCATATTCTCTGGTATATACTTCAGCAGTGAAACTGCTCTACTGTAATACTGTTTAACCTTCTGAGGCAGAGTCCAGAGTGTTTCCCAAAGATGCTTGCCATTTTGTCTTCTGACCTGCTATGTGGGGTGAGGGGAGCTCTGATTATTTCAGGGTCCTCACCAGTAATCATTTTTGTCTGTCTTTGATCTTAGTCATCCCCATGGGTGTGAAGTGGTATGTCATTGTGGTTTTGATTTGCCTTTCCCTAATGGCTCATGATATTAAGCACCTTTTCACATTCATACTGGTCATTTATATCTCTCATTTGGGAAAATGCCTATTCAAATACCTTGTCCACTTGTAGTTGTATTTCTTGTCATTTTATTGTTGAATTGTCAGAGTTTGTTGTATATTCTGGATTCTAGAGCCTAATAATGTACATGGTTTGCATATAGAGGATCTAGTGAACCTATTTACCATAGCTATAAGGGAACTTGTTCCACCCTTCCTTTCCCAGTCCAGAAATTCCCAGAATGTTCTCTGTGGAGGACAGGACCCTGGAGCAATCCAGAATAAATACATTGAGCCAGTTTTACATTGGATAGCATCAATAATCTAAATGCTCATACCCAGGTAGTGGATTTTTAATAGTAAACTTATTGAAGATAGCAGGAGCTCGCGAGTAGAAAAAATATAGTGTTCAAGGTGCACAAGATGTAAGCAAATGGTAAGTTAAAGTGACCTGTTAGCTCTCTAATAAATGTGAATTAAGTAAAATATTAACTAAACATCAATTCAAGTCCTGATTTTTAAAGATTTATCTATTTATACAAACACTGGAGTACAAGCCAAAGGTGCGGGAGGGTGAGAGAATTCACCAGAGATAGAGCAGGGAGCAGAGCAGGCAGAAGAACTGAAATACACTCCTGAGGGGAGCGGCAGGTGAGACATGAGAGGTCTGCCACGTCATATGGGAATCTCCCTGGCTGGCTGGGAATCGAACCGGCACTGCAGAGGCTGCACACAGCTTCATAGCACTGCACTCAACCTGCTGCACCACTGGGGAGGCCCTTCAAGTCTTAAAGAATCACCCTGTTTTCCCTTTAGATACAATGGCATATACTCAACTGTATGTTATTCAGCATTTTTTAATCTGCTGTGTGTCAGGCACTGTGTTATGTACTGGTTGTATAATAATCAATTATAGTCTCAGTCTCACGTGGCTTAGTCTAGTGCAAGGGTGGATAGTCATTTTCTGTAAAGGGCTAGAGAATAAATATTTTATGTTTTAAGGACTAAGAGGCAAAATCAAGAACATTCTATAGGTACCTATATAACAAAAGAGAAAACAAATTTCCACAAACGTTTTATTGATGAAAATTAAGATATAATAATTGAATATATATTGTTTTGTAATACAGGTATATTAATGAGAAGAATGGTATTTTTTGGAGGGAGATAGCATTTTACTTAATTGGGGTTAAAGTGAGTGTTCTCTATCATCAAAATTAGTTGCAATCTCAATTTATCTTTAATGGTTTTAACTTATTTCGTATCTGATCAAGTTGAGATTTTTAAGATCCTTATTTTTAATTTGTGATAAAAGTTTACCATTTGGTATTTTCAACTGAGTCAACTAACTATAAGCGCCTGTTAATAACGGTCTAAAATAATTTTAAAAATCAGTTGTAAAATGTATTTCTTAATGATTACCTGTAATGAAATTTTATGTATTTCATTTCTAAAAAATTTTTAATAATTGCCATATATTGACATCAGTCCACAATCATTTGATTTTAGTTGAACATATTCATCTTTTGGAAGGCATTTATGGAATTCTACTAGATTCTTTTCTTGATATTTGCCTTTGATCATGTCATTACATTGCAGAATAATCACATCCAATGGAAATTTAGGTGGAAGTTCCTCAAATGCACAGCTAATTTGATTCTGAAATACAGAGATTTTCTTTGTACTTGCATCAGGTCCCAAAAATGCCACTGGAGCTGTAATTTGAGCTCAGAAAATATATCCACTGCCAATTTGTGTGGGAATGCAAATCTTGATTTTTTTTGTTTTAACTTTTGGTAGCAGAGGAAGCAATTAAAGTAACTTAACATTACTTGTTATTCAAACAATGTTAGTTGTCATCAAAATGACTTTATTGTTATGCCTTGCAATTTTGCATTCATTAAGTAACACAATCAAGTCTACAGTGAAAGCTAATTTCATAGCATTCAGTGTTCAATAGTAGTGGGTGAAGGTGATTCCTTTCATTCAGAAAGATGTTAATCTCAATCCTGAACTCAAAAAGTAAAAAAAACTTTACCACTAATAAACTAGTGAACTGCTGTTGGTGGGATGAGTCAGAATATTCAGCTTCTGTTTCTGACAAAAATTCATAAAACTGATACTGGTTTAATCCACGAGAGAAAGGAAGTTCATTATTCACACTCAAGGTTGAATAACACAAGGCAAATTCAAATATTTTCCTGCAAAGTACGTGCTGTTAATGATACGATTAATAACCATAATATTTAAACAAACTTTCACAAGCTTTGGACATTTGTCCAACTAAGCCTTTTTCTGCTCCATACATATTTGTAACACATCTTAGCAGTTGTACCTCAGGTTGTATTGAATTAATGTTTTGCTGACTCTGAAAATATTCTCATCTGCAGTTCCACACCGACTATTAACCATTCCGGTCAATTTTTCCATCTTTTTAACTTTGAGTAATCAACATTGACCCTTTGCGTAAGCTATAACAATTGAGCAGTATTGGTAACATCCAGCAACCCATCAAGGGTTAAGTAAGGCTTCTCTGGTGGCGCAGCAGGTTGAATTCCCCTTCCACCCCCACCAGCCAGGGAGATTCCCACATGGCGGGACAGACCTTTCCTATCTACTCCCCTCAGCATTGTATTTCGGTCCTTCTGCCTGTTCTGCTCCCTGCTCTGTCTCTGGTGGATTCTCTCACCCTCCCCCGCCTCTGGCCTGTACCCCAGTTCTTGTATAAATAAATAAATCGTTAAAAAAAGTTAAGTGAAGCCATTTGAAATCATTTGCCTTGTTTTTAAATTGTCTATGGATGTTTTTTCCGATGTCCTCAATTCTTTGAGTCACTGTTCCGGCTAAAAAGCTAATAGTCTTTAAAAAGTTTACTTTCCCTGGACACATTTCTTTGGCATCTGCAATCAAACACGACTTAATTAACTCACCATCAGTAAAGGCTTTCTTTGCTTGACTAACAAATGAGTCACTCAAAAATTTACTTGGCTATAGCCTTATTTTCATGTTTCATTTTTGTGATGAATTCTGCTGTGATAAGATATTCATTTTTAAACTTCCAAATTTTTCTATTGCTTTCCTGAGTTGGGAATATCAGGATGAGTGCTTAGTTGGGTAATGTCGGTGTATATTGTATATATTTGAAGAAAGTACAGTGCTTTGCATAATAAATGCAAAGCTTTGACATCTAATTTGATAACCAAGTAACTACACTCCACTGTGCCCTAAAAGCAGGATCTTTGAAATCTACATTTATTTTTTGTTTTGACATTTTACGTAGGCACTTGTAATGAAATCATATGCCACAATATGATGATACACATGGCACTCAAAATGCTGTTGAGTCACAACTGTGTCACTGCAATTTGTAGTGCACCAACCAACACTGTGAAGTGATGGGAGCACCACGTACAGTTTCCGTTGTGGCTACTCAACTCTGCCATTGTAACGCAAATCAGCCACAAACACTAAATATGTGACAAACTGTAGCTGTTTCTCAAATTTCATACCATCTTCATGTATCATGAGATATTATTATGTTATTCATCTTTTGATTTTTTTTTCCCAACCACTTAAAAATACAGAAAACCATTCTTAGCTTGCAGGTCATGGATTAAATGTTGGTAGGCTGGATTTGATTGTAGTTTGCTGGTGAATGCGGGTGGTTTAATAGAATTCCCACACACAACACTGTAGCCATGTGTATTAGTTTCCTATTGCTGCTGTGACAAACTACCACACACTTTGTAACTTAAGAAAGCACAAATTTATTATCTGGTAGTTCTGAAAGTCGGGTCTGAAATCAACTAACTGCTCTAAAGTCAAAATGTCAGCAGGACTGCTTGATCCTAGAGACTCCAGGGGAGAATCCACACTTTGGCTATTCCAGCTTCTAGAGACAGCCATCATCCCCTGGTTCCATTACTATATGACTCCAATCTCTGCTTCCATCCCTTCCATGGCCTTCTCTCTGAACTTGCACTCCTCCTGCTGTCCAATGAGGACCCCTGTGATTACATCAGGCCTACTCATTTGATCCTGGATCATCTCTCCATCTCCAGATTCTTAATTTAACCACATCTGCAAATCCCATTTTGTCACGTTAGGCAAAATATCCACAGATTCCAGGGGGTGGGGAGAGAGACATTAGCCAGTCCACCACATGCTGTCTTTGTTCCCCTTGATTCAGCAACTCAGCAGGTAGTGAAACTTCATGCTTATGATGCTAATTTCCCCATTTATCTCAACTTTGCCATTTCTCTCTCCTCTCTTCCCCCTCCCATTTTGCTCTCTTGCACTTCTCTCTCTCCTCCTTCTTTTCTCTATTCTTCCCTCCTTAAGTTCTAGGAGCTATGGATGGACAGCATGTTGCTACTTTTATTACCAAGCACGCGCAGTGACAACTGCTGCCTCCTCCAAGTGACTCTGAGACTACTGGAGTCAAGAAAGACCTCATGACTTTATTTTGTGATATTTCTTGGATGTAGTTACCAACACAGATGAAAACAATAGAGAAATAAAATTCCTTTGTCTTCCCTGGCTAACAGAAATACAACTTACAGACTCATGAAGCAGGAAATACCTTATTCAGTCTCTCTCTCCAATCCAAAATAGTCCAGGAAAGTCAGTCTAGCCTACATTTTGAAATCCTTATCAATGAAATTCCTCAGTTTCCCAAAATTGCCCATAATTAACAGTCCTCCCTTATAGGAAAACTGTCAAATATTTGCCTATGAACAATATGTATTCATATTGTTCAAAGACAACAATTGTTGTCTTCCCTGTAGCTGCATTACTAGCACGCTTCTCTTAAATTGAAAAATGATTTCTAGGGGCCTCCCTGGTGGCACAGGGGTTGATATGCAACCTATGAAGCAATCCGCAGCCACTGCAGCACGAGTTTGATTCCCAGCCAGCCAGGGAGCTACCCACATGGCAAGAGGCCTCTCCTGACTTGCCTGCTACTCGCCTCAGCAGTGTGTTTCAGTCAGTCTGCCTGTTTTGTTCCCCACTCTGTCTCTGGCGAATCCTCTCACCCCCCACACCTCTGGCCTGTACCCCAGTTCTTGTATGCATAAATAAATAAATCTCTCAAAAAAAGATTCTTGGTCACTGATGTATACACACTTTCTCTGGATAGTTCAATCAAACACTCATTTAAGTTCCGCTGTGAAGGAGTTTTTCAGATGTAATTAAGGTCCCATATCAGATGATTTTAAGATTGGGAGAGAAGCCAGAGTGGGCCTGACCTAATCAGTAGGTGAACTGGGCTCTTTCTGAGGAAAGAGACCCAAAGCGTGAGAGGGGTTTGAGGGAGAGAAATTCTCTGTTGCTGTCTTTTTCAATAGAATAAGCCACATGGCAGGGTATCATCGGGTGACCTCTAGGAGCCGAGAATAGTCTGTGGCTGCAGCCAGCAAGGAAATGGGGGCCTCAGTCCTACAACGGCAAGGAACTGACTGTGGCCAGCAACTTGTGGTCATTGGTTAAGCAGCAATAGGAAATGAATGCACTTGCTTTTGTAGATGTTGCTTTTGTTGACTTCATCTGTGAGCATTAGTAGACTGCATCTTCCAAGAAGAGAGGAAAAGGAGATTTTTAATTGATTTTTGTACCCTCTTCCCACCACAACCATAATATGCCATTAAGAAGCTTTGCCTTAACTGATGTTGGAGTTAATGGGAGACATAAATCCTTGGCCATGAAGCTACCTGTTGTTCAGGTAGAATCACTACCATTGTAAAGTGCCTCCCGCCTCCCAAATTCGAGACAAATTTCTGCATATCTGATATATTCTGGAATCTTCCCATGGATGTATCACCAGTCTCATGAACTCAGTAAATCCCTAAATTTTCTCTCCCAAAATTGCCCCTGCCCCCCTATTCCCTAATTCTGTTGATAGCACCTTCAAATCCCCAGTTATCTAGGGACTTAGAACTCCAGCCGTCATTGACAGCTACTGCTCTCTTGCCCCCACTTTCGATCTGTTCCCAAGTCTCTTCCATTTGCCCGTCCTGTTCATATTTATTGTCACTGCCTAGTTCAGAATGTCTCACTACAATACTTCTAGAGTTTCTTAGCTGCTCTCCTGACACCCATCTCTGGTCAGTGCAGCTTAATCATGTCACTTCTCTGCTCAACCCCGCAATTCTTTAGTTTGACATTTAAAACCCTGCATCACTTAACCCAAACCTACCTGTCTCATAGCTTCAATAATAATTAAATGTATGTTTTGTTTACCTTCTAAGTTATTTCAGGCTTAAAATTGATTCTTTAACCCTGTTACTGCTTTTACAGGTCCACAGGCTGTGACTCTTCCCTGCAACCTGCAGCTTTTTCACGTGCCACTTACTGTTACTTTTACTTCAGACCCACTGCCCTTCCAATTCCTGCAGCCAGATTGTCTCATACCTTGGACTCTTCTGAACCTACAGCAGCTGTTTGGTTTGTTGCACTGCCAAGGAGAAATGTGGTTCCAGAGTCAAATTGTGAGTGCCCAGATCTGAAACCTCATTCTACTTGTCTTAAGCTCTCCTATTTGCCCCAGGATACAGTACACCAATTAATTCTGCTTGGAGTGATTGGTGGTCTAAATGTTGGGACTGGAACCCTGCCCATTCATCCCAGCAACACAGGGCCCAGAGCCCCCTTTATAGTGGAGGCTGATTTCTTAATTTCATGGGCAGTGATTTTAACCATTCCCCCTTCCCCTTACCCTGCCCCCAGTATCCTGTGTCTGCAGGGGATTTGCACTGTAGAGTTCCGCTATTGGAGAACTAGTTTTGCCTCCACCTCCTCTCTCTGGGGAAAGAAGTGTGCTCCCCAGTCACGTGCATGTCTTTTTTTATTAAACTTTTACATTTTCTTACATCATTGTTCATTTTTGTACAGTATTTGATTCCTCCCCTCATGTGTAGTTCTCATATCTCCCAACACCACATCACCCCTGAACCGTCACCACAGTTCCCTATGCCCTTCCCTCCCCTGTTTTGATCCCGCTCCCTCACTCTCCCTGCTGTATGTCTCAGATCTATAGTTTCTTTTTTTTTTTTTTAAAGGATTTGAAGATTTATTTATTTATTTATACAAGCACTGGGTGCAGTCAGAAGCGCGGGAGGGTGAGACAATTCACCAGAGCCAGAGCGGAAGCAGAGCAGGCAGAAGGACCGAAGTACACTGCTAAGGGAGCAGCGGGCGCAGGAGAGGTCTGCGCGCCATGTGGACCCTCCTCCTGGGACCCTCCTCCGGTGGCCGGGGAGCAGCCGGGGATCGAACTGACACTTCAGAGGCTGCGGGCAGCTTCTCAACCCAGCGCTCAACCGCTGCGCCACCGGGGAGGCCCAGATCTATAGTTTCAGTGCACATTTTAAGAAGCGATCTGCTTTCAAAA